AAATATCCACAGTTGTGTTTGTGTGGCATTTCCAGAAGAATGAAAGGAAAGAAGCATTCTTTTGGGGTTGGTTCTTTATAATCAAAACAAGTATATATCTTGTAGCTTGAAAACTCAGAATCCCAATAATTGAATAGAATGCGCTGACCCGGAGATAAGTTATCATGCCTTTGAACCTCTTCCTGGTATTCTTAGAGGAAGGGAGAGGGTGAATATAAGGTTAATGGATTCTGCTGCTAAACTGAACTTAGAAATGAGGTTTCATTGATTTAATATTTCCTCTATTAAGCCTCCCAAGACAGTGTCCCTTGTGGCCCTACCTGCCGCGGTCCAGCCACGACAGGATCCAGGGGGCCCCGAAGGTGGGCAAGGCGTCGGCGCGGGAGACAGTCGACTACACAACTCAGAGGCGGTGTGACACTGTTCTGTTTTATTGTGATTTGAGTACAACTTTTATACTTTTTATTTTGGCATTTGATTATACTTTGTAGTTAAGGTAGCAGGGAGTTAAATTTCTGTGGTTAGGCGAAGCAGAAAATCTTATAGAGTATATTATTATTAATGTTCATGATTAACTAGTACATTTTTCTCTCAATCATTAGAACAGAACTACCTGAAGGAACAATCTAAACTTTTAATTCTTATATCTATTACGTAAGATACAGTTTGATTTAAGTAAAGGTGATAGATAGATGTATTCATAACAGCAAGCATTGGCTTGTGGGCAGACATTGTTCTTCTTTCTGCCTGAAGAAATCTTTTAAATGCTATTTGATTTATGCTATATCTAAAGTTCAAGCTGAACCTTTCTCATAGCTGTTCAAAAGTTTCCTTGGTGCAGTATTGAGGAAAATATTTATAAAAATCAGTTTTACAAAGCTGCTTTTGTAAGCTAAGTTTCTGTTCCTTTGTTTTTTAAGCACTAAGGAGGTCCTGACCTAGCCAGCCTTTCTATAAAACTTAAACTACTATAAGGCACATGAATTCCATCTTTATTCACCATACATATGCTATCTTCATTATGAACTCCTGTATAAGACAAAGGAGGATCAGGTAATCTTTTCATACTATTAGCCCCGCTAGGTGGATACCAGAGTTTTCCATTTATCCAGTAGGCCACAAAAGGAGGCCCTTCCATAGTAGGCACAGGCTTATAAGTAAATTTCTTATCCTTTACTAATTTTTCTACTAACTGCGTGGGAACAGGAGTATAAGCTGGTTCTAGTAATTCAGTTTGTTATAATTTATTCATAACATCTTTAAGAGACGCGTCAAAAGAAATTTCCCTTAATAATTGTTCAAATAAAGGGTTTATGCATTCCGGACACATCAGGGTGACTAGAGCTGATTCCATACGTGGGGAATTTACTATGTTTTCCTCAGAGCCAATTTTGAGGAAATCCATTTGTACAGCGTTTACACTTACTAGAATTTGTGCTACCCAAATTCCCCCTATTAATAGGATCGTTTCTAAGAAACCAATTATTCCTAAACACATGCCACGTCCTCATTCTTGACGATGCATTCCTTGAAGCCTCTGTCCCCATCTCCGGATCTTGTCACGCAGTAGGGTAGAAAGAGGACGCGGCACCTACCAAAATGCAATCTCAGTACTTTCTTTCCATTGAGAGTCTATGCTGCAGCTTCAGCTGTGACTGGGACAGATAAATGCAGGATGGCCCTTTTGGCCAGCTGGCCTCTCCCCTTGCTGGCTTAGAAGGGTAGCAAGCCAAAGTCCTGCAGGCAGAGCTGCTTTATTAGGATTGGCCTCCTCCTGAGGAGACTGCTGAATTTGTGATCGCAGATACTCCCCTGCTGTGTGTGACGCTAGAAGTGAGTCACCTCATCTGGATGTGGACACCTTGAAGCGGGAAAGGGCTGTTCAGAGACATTGTGGCAAGTAGAGGAGGGGACTGGAGGCACAGATCATTTCATCTACACACCTACCTGCTCAGGAACCTTGCTGCAGCCTCCCAGACAGTTGGGGCCTCACCTGCCTCTGGACGAAGCCCTCAGGGGAAGGCAGCACACTGTTGCCTATTGCTAGATACTGTCCCCTGCCTCCCCTGTCTGCCTTCCTGTAGCCTCTTTTTTTCTCTAGGCTAGACTGGTGCTTCGAGCTATTCTTCCTGGGTGCCTACTCCTACATTTACCCTTCCTACCCTGTCTGCCCCCACCCCCGTCACCCCCCATGGCTCTCATTTACCCTATAAGCCCAGCAGTGCTATTTACTGGCTTTGTGATGTGGCCTCTCTTTCACATGCATACAGTGGGTGGGGGAAGGGAACGGTGTCTCTGGGGCCTGTCTCTGATGTGGCTTCTTATCCTTTCTCTCTCTCACCGCACATGCACTTAACTCCTCTTGTAAGTAGACATCAAATACTGCTTCTGTCCCTGCCAGACTGGCACCATCTGTAGACTTGGGTTAAGGTTCCACAGATCTTGGAGCCTTCCCAGTGCCCTGCCCAGTCCACTGCATGCATGGCATTCGTCTGAGGCAGATCACCATTTGTGGGTGGGTTTGCTTCTATGAGTTAAAGAGTCTTTGGGTGCCAAGGTGATGAATAAAGAGTGAAACTTGGGGATATGTATTTTTTGGTAAAAATTAAAACAATGAGGCTTTTTAATGCAAGCTGAAGGCTGTTGCATGAGCAGTAGCTATATTGTTGGAGTATGTTGTCACTGCTTGTAAGTACAACCTTTGAGTGTGTGAGTTCTAGTATGTTATGTAAAAAACAAGTGTCACTTCTCCATAGCTACATCCAGTAAAACAAGGACACTTGCAGCATGTACAGAGATCATCTGTTTTATTATTTGAGTATCAGTGTGAGTAGCCCTCTCATGAATTGTATAGTTAGGATAGGGCAGGTTTAGAATTCATCTAAGATAGCAACTTCAAATCCAAACTCTGCCTTTGCTAGCAGCTGGGGCAGTATCGGGCAAATGCCTAGGCTCCAGAGAGACCTGAAATTGAATGTCCGTACCACCAATTCAATTATGTGATCCTGGCCAAGTACCCAACCTTCCAGAACCTCATTTCTTTCTTTTTAAATGCGGGAAGAAATAATGTCAACCTTAGGAGGCCCTTTTTTTTTAATTAAAAAAAAATTATAAATTGTGTTAAAATCATAAAAGTTACCATCTTAATGATTTTTAAGTGTTAAGTAATTCACATTGCTGTGTAACCAGCCTCCAGAATTTTTTCATCTTGTAAAACTGAAACTCTGTACCCATTAAACAACAACACCCATTCTGCTCTCCCCCAGCAACCACCATTCTACTTTGTATCTCTATGAATTTGACTGTTCTAGGTACCTCATATAAGTGGAATCATACAGTGTTTGTCTTTTTCTGTTTAGCTAATTTCACTTGGCAAAATATCCTCCGGGTTCATTCATGTTGTAGCATGTATCAGAATTTCTTCCTTTTTAAGACTGAATAATATTCCATTGTGTGTATATAACACATTTTTTTATCTCTTCATTCATTGATGGACACTTTGGTTGCTTCCACCTTTTGGCTTTTGTGAATAATGCTGCTATGAATATGGGTATACAAATATCTCTTTGAGACCTTGCTTTCAATGCTTTTGGGTATATACCCAGAAGTGGAGTTGCCAAATCTTATGGTAATTCTTTTTAAAATTTTGAGGAACTGCCATACTACTTTCCATAGCAGCTACATCATTTTATGTTCCCACCAACAGCATACAGGGGTTCTAATTTCTCCACATTCTCGCCAGCACTTGTTACATTCTGTTTTTTTGATAGCAGCCATCCTGATGGGTGTAAGGTAGTATCTTAATGTGTGGTTTTGATTTGCATTTCCCTAATCTTTAGTGATATTGAGCATTTTTTTTCATATGCTTGTTGGCCATTTGTATATCTTCTTTGGAGAAATATCTGTTCTGGTCCTCTTCTCATTTTTTAATTGGGTTGTTTTTTTTATTGTTGAGTTATAAGAGTTCTTTATATATGCTGGATATTAACTTCTTATCAGATATGTGATTTGCAAATATTTTCCCTCATTCTATAGGTTGCCTTTTTACCCTATTGATTGTGTCCTTTGATGCACAGAAAGTTTTTTATTTTTATGTAGTCCAATTTATCTATTTTTTTCTTTTGTTGCCTATGCATTCAGTGTCATATCCATGAAATCCATTACCAAATCCAGTGTTATGAAGCTTTTCTTTTACGTTTTCTTCTAAGAGTTTTAGCTTATAGGTTTAATCTTTTATCCATTTCGAGTTAATTTTTGTCTGTGGTATATGCTAAGAGTCTAATTTCATTCTTTTTCATGTGGATATCCAGTTTTCCCAGCACCATTTGTTGAAAAGACTGTCCTTTCCTACTGAGTGGTCAGGAAGTCATTTTGTAGATGAAATAAAATATTGTATATGAAGCTCCCAACACCATACCCAGCCGTGACTTAAAAAATGATGGTCCCTCTACCTCTCCCTTATCTGAGATGTAGTTTTTAACTACTGAAGTAAATTTTTAATAATTAGAATGGCAAATACCTAATAGTACTGACTGTGTGCCAGGCTCTGTTCCAAGGGCTTTACATATATAAACCCACTGAATTATAGGTATCGTTGGGTACCGTTGTTTTAACTAGTTTACAAATAAGAAAATTGGGTACATTGAAGTTAAGTAATTTACCCAAGGTCAAATAGCTATTATGTGGTAGAGCCTATATTCAAACCGAGATAGTTTGGCTCCAGAATCTGTTTGGGGTGATCTTTAATAGCTTAGACCTATCATAAGCCTTTCAGTCTGGAGTTTGCTAAATGAAGGACAGACAGTGTTATGACGTTGATCTTTAGGCCCAGATCTCTTGCTGGGTGTTCTCTTGTGAAAGCAGCACCTCCAGAACTCCTTCGTTGGCTTAGCCCATCTGCTAGGGAGGAGAATGTGGTAGTTCTGGTCACTTCCTGTTTCCTGCCAGGACCCCTTTGTTCCAGGAGAAATGTAAACCAGTTTTGTTTCTTAACTTTACAGAAAAGGCAACAGATGGCTCCCTGCAAAGCGAGGACTGGACGTTGAACATGGAGATCTGTGACATCATCAATGAGACGGAGGAAGGGTATGTGTGTTCTCTCCATCCCCTCCTTTGAAGCTTGTCAGCTTCTGGGTGTCACTCAGAGCCTGTTGGGGCTTAAGGGTATCGATGTTATACTTTTAGTTTTGTTTTTAGTCTGTTTGCCTTGGCATTTAATACACTGACACTCTTAATTATTTTTTTCTCTTTCCATCTAATCTGCCCCTACTTCCCCAGTGGCAGCGCTAAGTTAGAGCAGTGATGACCTCTTTTAATAACCTGCTTTTAATGACAAGTAAAAATGAAGTTGCTTGGTTACTTGGTCCCCTGTGGTCATTGGTCTCACCCTTCCTTCTCAACCACTGCCTCCCCTTTGCAGATGTGAGTCTGTCTCTTCCCTCCTTTGCTTGACTAGAGCCCCAGCAGTCAGAGAGAGCCTGCAGTGTCCACAGAGGGGGGAAGAGAGTGAGAAAATAAGCGTGAGGTATAGAGCAGCTGAGTGTTTCTAGCGTGGATGAACTTAACCCACAGGCTGCCCCTCACCTATCCTTTTGCTGCTGGATCTGTTCTTGTTGATTTGCATGATAGATCCTCCTCTTCTACATTACAACATTCTAGTTATACTTCTTCCAAGGTAGTTTGTATTTGGCCTCCTGTCCACATTATAAAAATGGAATTTACTGTCACCATGCCATCTTAAACCATCTCCAGAGCTGTGAGCTGTGAGAACACCCTTGACTGAGGCAGCCTTAAGCTTACATCGTGACACTGTCACAGCTTTGTCATCTATAAACTGGGGACCAGCCCCTTCAGTTAGGCCCTGCTTTCATTAAACAGATATGTTCTAAGTGATGACCTTGTGCCAGGCCCTAGTTTAAGTCCTGAGGACACAGCAGTGAACAAGATAGATAGACTTCCTCTCCCTGGGGAGCCAACCAGCCAGAGTGGGGAGGCAACCTATCAGCAACAAAACTAGAACACAAGACTGTATTGGTGACAAGACTGTGGAGGGAAATGAAGCTGGGAGGAAGAGGCTGGGAATTAGCCATTTTTAAATGGTGTAATCAAGGAAGGCCTCACAAGGTGACATAGAACAAAGACGTGAAGGAGATAAGGGGGTGAGGTGTAAGGATTATACCAGGGAAGAACTTTCCAACAGAGCAAACGGCAAGCACAAAGTCTTTGGACAGAGGATGTCTTAGGTGTTTAAAAAATAGCAAGGAGGCTATGGGGCCAGAGCAGAGTGAGTGAGGAAGAGGGTACCAGGAGGTGAGGTCAAAGATGTCGGGGATACAGATAACACGAGCACCACAGTGACGGGAATCCCTGGAAGGATCTGAGCAGAGAAGGGGCATGGTCTTACGTTCATTTTAAAGAGATCACTCTTTAAAATGGCTACCATATTCAGAATAGCCAGGCGAGGGGTGGGCCAAGGGCAGAAACAGGGAAACCAGTTAGGAGGTTATTAGAATAATCCTGGTCTGAGATGGTGATGGCTTTGACTAGGATGATAGAGGAGGGAGTGAGAAGTGGCCAGATTCTGAATATATTTAGAAGAGGAACTAATGAAATTTGCCAACGTGTGTATGAGTGAAGAGTCAAGAATAAGGGATTGAGCAGGCTAGGGGTGCAGAGATCAGCAATTCAGCTAAAATCCTTTAGATTGAGCTGCCAGTGAAGCCTCCGGCAGGTAATACTGATAGGGTAATGACACAAAGGGGTCTGGAGTTTGGGGCAGTGGCCTGTGCTAGAGATGTGTGTTTGGGAGTCTTCCATGAAAGATGGCCTTGATATTTCTGCAATATCAGTGTAGGTGATTAGCTTGGTGTCTGGCACACAGATGACAATCACAGAATTAGCGGGAACTCCACATTTCTAATGCCATAATCACTGGGTCATCTTCCTGCAGACCCAGCTGGGCTCCTTATTCATGTCCCCCTCAGACACCACTCATTCATTCATTTATCCAGTTGCTCAGCCACATTTATTGACCCCGGATGAAGGCCTAGCTGGTGAGTGTGCCATGGCCACTCTTGAGGCACTCATTGGGCAGAACCAGATGAGCTGTGGCTGAGACGTGTGCCAGTTGCTTCAGACTCAGAGGGAGAAGCAGTGGGGATGCCTTCTGGAGGGTCAGGCTTTGGGCTGAGCCTCAAGGATGGAAGGAAGAGGAGAAGTGTTCTGTGTAGCTATGGGTGGCATAAAAAGGGCAGCGCGGTGGGGGTACAGTTGGTCTGGGTGTGCAAGGAAGAAGTTGGGGGGGAGGTCCTGGAACAGAGGCTGGAAAGGTGCTTCAGGTCAGGTTATAAAGAGCATTTTTCCTGCATCATTTTCTAGAGTTGGTCTGTACCCCGAGGCGGTCCATTTACCTTTGCCCCCATCCCTCTGCAGGCAGAGGGTCTCTTAAACTCTCAGAACTCATGTTACTCCCTTGCTAATTAGCCTTTTCTCAGGGTGAAAATCCTTCTTGGACCCTGCAGGATAACCTAGCCCTCTACTGCTCCATTTTGGATCCTTTCCCCTTGTCCTCACCCTTTAGCCCCACTGATCTTTCAGTTTCTTGAACCTTCCACATCCCTGTACCCAGTTTGCAATTCTCCGCAAATGTGAGAGACATACATACATACACATGTGTGGGAGTGGGACCTGCTCATTCCAAAGAGAACGAGGCCTCCTTCCAAGGTCTGGGAGCCAGGTCAGCTGCTTTTTACAATACTCAACACGCTTTCCTCCTGAAATGGCCCATACTCTTGTTCTTGCATTTTTCAGTGACAGCCCCTTAGTGCTACCCAGAGATTTCCTGTCCTTGTCTGTGCTGTGAGGTGACTGCCAAAATCTTTCCGCATAAGTCTGGCTAACGGTTGGTACCCTCCACTTTCATCCTGCTTCAGGGCTCTGGGCCTGGTGTTCCCTCTGTTCCCCGCTCACCTCTCCTTTTCACTGACTAATTCTATCATTCACTGCATCTCAGTTTGAACCTCATTTCTCTGATACTCCTCCCTCCTGATTTGGACAAGTTACTCTCCCCACCCCCGACCCCATTATGTGATTTCATAATACTCTGTGTTATACTCATCACAGTTTAAACTTATATATTTGTGTGATGTTTATTAGAGTATCTGTCTCACCCCCAACTCCCCTAGACTGCACTCCATGAGGACAGAAATTCTGTTTTACTCACCATTTTATCCCTAGCACCTAGCATAATATGGATATAATTGGCTCTAGACAAACATTTGTTATATAAGTGAATAAATGAATGAAGTCCCTAGGAGGAATGCAAGCATGTGACCATGATTGTAACACAGTGCGACAAGTGCTCTGGGAGAGAAGTTTATAGAACTAACAAGAGAGAGACTAGAGCAATAGCAGTTGATTGGCCTTGGAGCCGTCAACAGCAAAGGCTTCTTGGAGGAGGTAGCACCCAAGTGGAGTCTTCCATCAGCCAAGAGAGGGGATAGAAGGCAGGGGAGGCAGGTAGACACCCAGGCTGGAGGGGCATGAAACAGAAAGGGGAGTGTAATGGAATTAGGGGCATAGAACCTGGAGCCACCAGCTTGGGCTGGAATCCTAGGTCTTCTATTCACTTACTGTGTAACCCTGTGTAAATTACTTAATCTCGCTGTGTCTTAGTTTCCTCATTAACAGATAGAGGTACCAATAGTATCTATCTTATGTGTTCACTGCCCTTACTCTGTCTGCCATTCTCTGAGTACTTGCCATGTGCCAGGCAGGCCCCCATCCTGAGCCCTGGATTACACCAGCTCATGCAGCAACCCCCGCACCCCCAATAGCCCTATGAGGTAGGGACAATTTATATTAATGTTGAAGAAACTGAGGCCCAGAGTAGTTTGGTCACTTGCCAAACATCTCACACCACAGCTAGGAAGGGCAGATGCAGGGTACAAGCCTAGGTGCACCTAGCTCCATCTACTGAAGTTCTTCTGCCTGTACTTCTTTGATTTATTTAAAGCTCTTCCTCTGGAAGGCTGGGTCTGGCTGGGTGCCACACAGGCCCCTCCCTGGGCTTTCCCTAATGTTCAGGGCCAAGGTCACCTCCAGCCTGAGGCTTTGTGTGGCAGTCCCTTGTGTCCTGGATCATTGGTCACTAGGCAGGAATGTCTGGCTGAGTAGCCTACCCAGGAGTGTTTACCAGGCCTCACCCAGTCCTACCTAATTAGGGCACAGGCACATAGATTTGGTAAGTGCTCTCCAGTTCTGATGGGAGGCTCTGATGTGGATCCACTGACTTGGGTTGTGTTCATGACCATTTCTGGGCCTTTTCCAGCTCACTGAAGCTTTGTCTGTGCCCCAGCCTCTAAACTGGAGAGGGCACAGAGGAGTAACCACTGCATAAATGAAATAGAGAGAGGTAATAGCTGAGGGGCGAAAAAAAGGGGGGAGGAGGGGTTCCGGGTCAGCAGAGCAGCCATGTCCTCCACGGAGGAATAAGGAGGAGAATCTCAGAAGTGGGAGTTCTGGAGCTGAAGGACAAGATGAGTTCAGTATTACTGAAAAGAAAGGGTCTTATGTATGAGTCTGGGGTCTGAGGTGAGTTTGGGGAGGCTGAGGATGGCCCAGAGGCCAGATCTGAGGCCCTGGTGGCTGCCCTAAGGGGCCTGACCTCCTCTCTGAAAGCTATCAGGGTTTAGGGCACCTCAAATGTGTCCTTCCCTCAGTTTTTCCTGCTCCGTCATGACTCGATTCTTCCTTCTCTCCTTTCTTCTTGTTTCCAGCTCCATGCTGTGTAATCTGCTGCTGCTTCTTGAAACTTTGCAATTTCTCTGACATGCTTTTGATCCTCCTCTCTGCAGCTTCTCCCCCAGGGAGAGAGATAAATACTTGCTTTTGTGCTCACCCAGTCACTCCCAGTCGGTACTTCCCGAGGATGAATTTTCATTTTAACTCCAACCCAGGAGCCTGCTGACTCTCTGATTTCCCTCTACCGCCATCACCCCCACACCAGGAGAGCTCTGAGTGTGCTATGCTCTGTGAGCTATAAGTGATTGCAGCCCTTGGAGGTCGTCCCCATTTTTCTGCGCCATGAAAGTTCAAGGGGAGAGGAATGAGACTAGATTGAGAGGGATGGCAGCTGTGGGTCAGGGCTAACTGAGGCTTGGCAGAGCTCTTCAGAGAGAGGAAATCAATCCATGCTACTGGCCAGCAGCCGCTGACCTTCATCAGCTCAAGTCCACAAACAATCCTTAAAGCCAAGAGCTTGTCAAGTCCCATATTTGCAGAAATCAGCATTCCTGTTTGGAAACTGCAGCCATACTGCAAACACACTTGGCAGGGACTCATTCCCCAGAGAGCCTCATCCCATTAGTCCTTGGACTCAAGAGCCAAGAATTCCATGTTTCAAGTTGGGAATGGGAAATAGGTCTCAGGTATTTTTAAATTTCTTCTAGAAGCCTTGCCTTACTGCTGTGTTTCTGTCTAAACTGGGCTGATTAGCAGAGCTTTCACCCCACCCCCCCCCTCAACTTCCTCATACACATTTGAAAGGACTTTTTCATTTGGTAAATAGATGATAAATATTTCAGAGTTGTAGGAATAGGAGGTCCCTGACTTACCGACTTTCAACTTTGGAAAGACCCAGGTATGTTGACATGTCAATCTGTAGAAGGCTGGCGCCTACTTGTGAGAGCAAAAGGCAGGCCTGCAGCCAGAATGGTAGAATGCAAGTGATGGGACATCAAGGGGCAGGAGCTTCATGCCAGAGACGGCTCTTAGATAACATGTTAGACACAAAGACTGCACCTAATAGGTACTCTTAGAGGGCTGGCTGGGGACCCTAACCCAGCTCTAAACAGTGATTTAAGTTTATGTGTTCCAAGTTCCAAATAATCAGCTGATGAGCAAGCTTTTGAACAAGGCCCCTTTGTAACCCAGTGGCTGCCTATACTATGAGATTCTCTCTGGGAATTCACATCAGAACCATTACCTAAAAGCACACAATTCCTTGAGTTTTGAGGAGATTTAATTTTTCTCAGGGAAAAAGGAATTCCATGGAAATGGGTAGGAACTAAATATCCAGGCCTAAGCAAGGACCTGGCCATTCTCCCTTCCTTCCTCTCTGTGGTTTTTTCAGTGTACCCATGCACCAGTAGGTTAGTTATTGTTTTGGATAAATAATACCTGCATATGATACAGAAATTCAAAAAGGCTGCAAATAGATAATCCAGTGAAAAACCTCCCCCTCCTCTCTGTCACTCAGCTCTCCTAAGGGGCAGCCAAAGTTACCAGCTTCTTGTAGTTCCTTCCAGAGATTCTCTAACCAATGCTGCCATGTGCACCATGTATGTATTTGTCTTTTTATAATTCGAATAGTGTCTTACCTTATGCACTGCTCTTCGGATGACTCTATTTCCATGTCTTTAATTTTGCTCCATGTTAATGCATTCTTTTTTGCAGCTGTACAGTATTCCATTGTGTGGATAAACACGATTTAATTTAACCTATTTCATATTGATGGACATTTAATTTATTTCTAACCTTTTACATTTATGAACATGCTGCAGCAAATAACCTTGTATATATGCTAGTTCACACAAATGGGAGTGAATCTGTAGGACAGTGCCCTAAAGTGTAATTTGCAAGGATATTAATATGTTCTTTTCTCCAGGCCAAAAGATGCCATTCGAGCCCTGAAGAAGCGGCTCAACGGGAACCGGAACTACAGAGAAGTGATGCTGGCATTAACAGTGAGTACTGCTCTCTTAGGGGCGGGAAGGCATCTGGGAAAATCCATATTCCTGACCAGGCCCCACTCACAGGGCCTTCCTTCTGCCCACTTAGCACAGCCCCTGGTGTGTGCCATTGGATGGCTTGGTGAATGTGCCATTGGAGTCCAGGGGAGCCTTCCCATAGTCCCCTTGGGTTTTCCTACCTCCTCTGAAGTGGGGCATGAGCTTCAATCTAGTGTATACCAGCAGAATATAAGACATGGGGCAGCACTGACTGGTACAGAGCCCCAGAGCAGAGAAGCCAGAGGCCTGGGTGTGGGTCTCCTTTGGACAACTCGTGTCAGACCTCTAGCAGTCCCCAACCTTTTTGGCACCAGGGACTGGTGCTCCTATGAGAATCTAATGCCTGATGATCTGAGGTGGAGCTGAAGCTTGGGGAGCAGCTCACCTCCTGCTGTGTGGCCTAGTTGCTAACAGGCTAAGGACCATACTGGGAACCCCTGCTAGCCTAGCTGTTTCTTTAGGTGTCATTTTCCTCTATAAAATGCTAACTTCCACCAAGTACCTGACCTCTGCTGAGCTTTTCAGATGTTAATGCAAATGTTTGCAATAACTTTCCAAAATAGGTTTCATCATTCCCCTCAGAAGGATAGAAAAACTGAGGCTCAGAGAGGTCTAGGGGTTTGCCTAGACTTTATAGCTAGTGAGGTACTCAGCTGTGGATTGTGGAATAAAAACTGATTATCGCTGGGAGGTTCTTGAAAAAGTCAGTCAAGTGACTCCTTTTAGGAAGGGACAGACTAGATTTTCCCCTTTCCTTAAATGTCAGAAAATTAAAAGGAACAACTTCAGGTGTTATTTTTGTCTTGAAAGTTAAAATTTTCAGATGTGGCAAAATCAGGCCATAGCAAATTCTTATAATGGAAACTCTAACAGGTCAGCACTGGGCTTCTCTGTAGGTTCGAATAGTTTGCTATTTATCTAAAACTGCTATAACATGTTTCCTCTTAAAACAGAAACTGTTTGGAATTTTTTCTCAAGTGAAAACCCAAGACTTATTAAGGAGAGTTCACTCTGCCAGGGAATTGGGATTTGAATATTAAAGGAGAAAAAGACTAGTTGAGAAATAGGGAATTGAAAGCTTTTTTTTCCTCAGAATTTGAGCCACTGTATTCACTAAACCCAGAGCACCCAGAGCCTACTGAAATGAATTGTTTTAAGTAATTAAAATCACCAGGGAATGAACTCTAACATGTCAGGACATTTTCCTGGTATCTAAGACATATCCCTTTACATGCCTACTTTCATGGTAACCGTATTAGATGGAAATCTTTCTAAAGTGGTCTCTACCTTAACTTCCTTTCTAAAGTGGTCTCTGCCTTAACTCCCTACAGCAGAGCACGATGAGCCTTGTTTAACCTTTCCTGATAGTCAAGTCTCATTTAGTATTATTATTTTCTCCTGACATATAACACATATAAGTTTAAGGTATACAGTGTGATAATTTGATATACATGTATATTGCACAATGATTACCGCAGTATTGATTAACACCTTCATCTGCTCACATCATTACCTTGTGTGTGTGTGTGTGTGTGGTGATAGCATTTAAGGTCTACTTTCCTAACAACTTTCAAATAGTATTATTAATTGTAGTCACCATGCTATGCATTAGATCCCCAGGACTTACTCATATTATAGCTGGGAGTTTGTACCCTTGGACCAACATCTCTCTTTTTCCCCTACCTCCTGGCCCCTGGTAGCACCATTCTACTCTCTTTTTCTATGAGTTCAGGTGTTTTTTGTTTTTTTTTAGATTCAGCATATAAGCAAGAACAGACAGTATATGTCATTCTCTATCTGACTTATTTTACTTAGCATAATGACCTCAAGGTTCACCCATGTTGTTGGGGAAAACAGGATTTCCATCCTTTTTATGGCTGAATAATATTTTGTTGTATGTAGTATATACCATATTTTCTTTATCCATTCATCCATAAATGGACACTTATGTTGTTTCCATGTCTTGACTATTGTGAATGATGCTGCAGTGAACATGGAGGTGCATGTATCTTTTCGAGTTAGTTTTTTCGTTTTCTTCAAATTAATACCCAGGAGTAGAATCTCTGGATCATATGGTAGTTCTATTTTTAATTTTTTGAGGAATCTCCGTACTGTTTTCCATAGTGGCTGCACCAATTTACATTCTCACCAAGAGTGCATAAGGGTTCCCTTTTCTCCACTTCCTGGTGAACATTTCTTGTCTCTTGTCTTTTCGATAATAGCCATTCTTTCAAGTGTTAGATGATATCTCATTGTGATTTTGAATTGCATTTCCCTTATGATTAGTCAAGTCTAGCATCTTTTCATGTACTTGTTGGCCATTTATGTATCTTTGGAAAAATTTCTATTTAACTCTTTTGCCCATTTTTTAATTAATTAAGTAATTAATTTTTTTATGGCGACATTCATTAATGAAATCCGGTAAGTTTCAGCTGTCTTTTGCTCATTTTAAAATAGAATTGTTTGTTTGTTTTTTGTTATTGGTCTGTATAGGTTCCTTATGTATATTGTATATTAACTCCTCATCAGATAGTTTGCAAACATTTTCTCCCATTCTGTGGGTTGCCTTTGCAATTTTCCCAATTGTTTTTCCTGTTGCACAGAAGCTTTTCAGTTTGATGTAATTCTACTTGTTTATTTTCGTTTTTGTTGCCTTTGCTTTTGGTATCATATCCAAAAAATCTTTGCTGAGATCAATGTCAAGGAGCTATTCCTCTATGTTCTTTTAATAGTTTTATAGTTTTGGATCTTATATTTAAGCCTTTAGTCCATTTTGAGCTAATTTTTATTAGTGGTAAGATAGGGGTATGATTTTATTCTTCTGCATATTGATATCCAGTTTTCCCAGCACCATTCATTGAAGATCCTTTTCCCCATTGAGTCTTCTTGGCTCCCTTGTCAAATATTAGTTGACCATATAGGCGTGAGATTATTTCTGGACCCTTGATTCTGTTCCATTGGTCTATGTATCTATTTTTATGCCAGTACCACACTGTTTTGATTACTATAACTTTGCGATATAGTTTGAAATCAGGCAATTGATGCCTCCAGCTTTATTCTTCTTTCTCAGGATTGCTTTGGCTATTCAGGGTCTTTGTAGTTCCATACAAATTTTAGGATTGCTTTTCTATTTCTGTGAAATCTTTAGATGGTTTTGGGAAGTATGGACATTTTAACAATATTAATTCTTCCAATCCATGAACACAAGATATCTTTCCATTTATTTGTATCTTTAATTCTCTCATCAATGTCTTATAATTTTCAGTGTACAGATCTTCCATATCTTTGATTAAATTTATTCCTAAGTATTTAATTTAATTTTAATTTTAGTGGTCAGGTCTTCCCTGCAAATCCACCAGTGCTGCTGGGAGAATTATGAAATGTGCAGATCTCTAGTACCTCCACCAAAGGCCTCAGCCTGGTGCATGTTGCATGGTCTCATATCTGCTTTTATGGTTTCTCTGTCTTTGTCTTCACTTACTCTGTTAGTCGTTCTCAGTCCTGCTCATTGTGGGCCTTTCCTCACTTCATACCTGTACACATCAAAATTGTTACTATTTATTCAAAATAGGAGCCCTGAGGGGCTCACTGCTCGGGCCTTAGCGTATGGACTAAAACATCTGTTTCTGTTTGCTTAGGGGCACCTTTTGCTTACTCTGTGAGCTTTGGCTGCAGCTAGAAAATTGCCACTGTGTGTTTCATGTCCTATAACCCATAGGGCAGATATTCCAAGGGCCTTTTTGGTAGAGTGGCTTAAAGTGGGTCGCTGGGCCTCCTTAGGCTGAATGCCCCTTGCCAGTCAGGGAGGACCTCCTGAATCTCCTTTTCTGTGAGGCTTTGGGGCTGCTCTGTAGCACACCCAACCTCTGTCCAGGACATTTCCAAGTCTGTGTATCTGAGCCCCAAAGTGTCTTACTTTAAAGTCTGCTGCACAGGAAAATGCAAGGACGTGCTTCCTAAAGGTGAAGAGTACATCCTGGCCCACTGGTGCCCTGAGCGTGGAGGCAGAGCTTTAGCCACCCTGCCACCTCAGGCTTCCTGGTCCTCTTTTCCCATGTTCTTTCTCACCACCCTTGCTCTTCCCCAGCTTCTTATCTTTCCTTTCTTCTTGCTCATCATGAAATAAAACACTTTTCCTGCCACCTACCTTGGCCCCAGCAGCCCATTGCCTGCATAGGTAAAGTTAAGAGGCGGGTTTTAGAGGATCCTAAAAAGAAGGATGATTATGAATTCCTTAAAGGCAGGAAGAACCCCTGTCATTCATCTAGGCAGCTCCCACTATGAGAGAGAATGCCGGTTGCCTCATAGTCACCTGGAGTCCAGCATGAGCAGAGTCTGAAAAAGAGAATGCCCCCGCGGCTGAGGACAACCTCAGCAAGGATGCTGAGCTTCAGTGTTTTCCTTGGCAGGCCGAGCGGAACCCAAAATCTCCCACGGAGCAGGCAGCAATGGGAAAGGAACAGTTATGACTGGTGTGGAGCTGCCAGACTCAGGACAACTTCTAGCTTTGGCCTCCTCAAGTGAACTTAACTGACATCTCCAAGCCTCAGCTTCCTCATCTCTACAATGGGATGATACCCACCTTACAGGGCTATTTCAAGGACCAAATGAGGAAACAAGAAATCTAGCATATTTTGTCTATTGTCTCTTAGAAGAAAGCTGTGAGGGAGGGATGGCCCCATGGCCTCACTGTGGGTGAAGAAATGAGGGCTCCAGAGAGGGCTGGTCAACCCATCCTGAGTCTGGCACTGTCCAGCAGCTTTTACCTAGACCAGTTTCTTCACCTTTCTAAGCCTCTTAACTGTAAGGAAATATGATAATAATACCTATTTAAAGAGAATTAGTTGTAAGAATTGAATGAAATTATATATAGTGTGCAAGAATCCCTCACGGTGCCTCACATGTAGTCTGCATTCAGTTAATGTTAAAGTTATGGACCTTTCTTTATGGCCATGTTTTGTCAAGGTGATGCCTTATTGTATGAACCCAGCCCTGTGGAATGACTGCATAAGGTAACCAGTGGTCAGTTTGGGCAAATGAGAATAACTGAATCAGTCAGAAATGTCTCCTTCTGCTGGTTATGTACTTCCAAGGAGGCATTTCCCACTAGTTGACTGTGGCATTGGGGGATGCTGGCATGGGAATGGCCAGATAACCGTATGAGTTGGTTTATAGAGAGCTAAGAAATTCAGAAAGCTGTGTTCAAGACTGGAGAGACCTTCAGTTAATACCTCTGAATTCCAGGGGACTCTCCCTGGTCCTGCGGAGACTGAGAAGCTACACCTTTACTTGGGTGTGTGTGTACCACAGCCTTATTAACAGTAATTATGTTATTGTAGTTCTAATTTACTGGCCCCTCACCTATGCAGGGCACTTGCTAGGGGCTTCAGACATTCTCATCCCTACTACCGTCATGCAAGGGAGTGTTCCTGTGCCTGCTTTACAGACGAGGAGGCTGAGGCTCAGACAGACTGGTCCTAAGCCATTCAGGGATAAAGTGGTGGAGCCGAGATTCAAGCCCACACTGGCCATCTGGTCAGAATCCACACACGGCATGCTTTTCTGAATGGCAAAGGCCTGTGTAACTAATTTTTCCAGAATGAGCAGGGTTTAAAGGTCAACAGGCAGCTGAGGCCAACAAATTACTTATTAAACGTGGAAATTTCTTTGTCATTGTCAATTTTAGTTGCAGAAGCAGGGTTGTGTGGGGTGTGTGATGTATGATGTGTGATGTGTGTGATGTGTGTGTATGTATGTGTTTGCTTGCTTCCTCACATACAAGGGCCAATAATTCATTGAGTAATTCAGGCTGTCACAGCAGCCTTTTCTTGTGACAGAGCCTGTGTCCCATTGGCTAATGTCTCACATTTGGTAGCACAGAGAGGAGTTAAAATGCTAATTTTCAGGGACCACTCAGTCATTTTGATCTCATTGAAACACCAGCATCCTTCTCATGCAAAACCAGTGCCTCAATTACCAACTAATTGCCTGATTATTGTGCAGAGACTGGAGACTTCAGTCAGCAAGGGACTGCCCATATTCCCCAGGAACAACTGAATTAGAGTGTGAGGATGCCTGTGCCATTTAGATTTAGCTCTAAATGAGATCATCATCAGAAAAAATGATCTGGAAGGAGGAAAGAGGGATGGTGGTGGTGGAAATTCAGCTGCCTTCCTCGGTTCCTGCTGGCTCCTCTGCCTCCCACAGTAGTGACCTCTTTCCTTTCCTCCCACATCAGGTCCTAGAGACATGTGTGAAGAACTGTGGCCATCGCTTCCACGTCCTGGTGGCCAACCGAGATTTCATTGACAGTGTTCTGGTCAAAATCATCTCTCCCAAGAATAGTCCTCCCACCATTGTACAGGACAAGGTGCTCGCTCTGATCCAGGTATGTGGGCTCTTCTTGTCCAGCTTTTGGGATGGAGTAAGGTGGTACTTCTAATCAATGAGTCCTCATGCTTGCCCATACTTTGGAGGAAAGAATGGAGGCTTCTGAGTTTAGATATTTGTTGCAAAATACTTCGTTTTTACAGTCATCCTACGGGAATGAAACCCTAAGCAGTGGCTCTCCAGCCAGTTGACAGCCTTCACTGAAGTTTTCTGGGTGTCTGGCCCTCTGCTGCCCACAAGGGCAAGTATGTGTGGTGGTGGGTGGTGGTGGTGGGGCGCTTGATAGGCCTCTGAGCCATCAGGGACAATGGAGAGTAGGAAGGGCCATATTAGAGCCATATGCAGGGCCGGCAAGTCACAGGGTAAGGGCCAACTCTAGGGCAGACAGGGAAGTAGGGGGGAGATGGTGTTAAGGAGTGATTTAATGAGATGATATTTTTGTCGGACCCTGAAGGATGATGAGGAACTTCGTGGAAAGTTCAGAGTGTGAGAAGCATCACAGGCAAAGACAATAGCATGTGCAAAGGCCCAGAAGCATCAAAAAGAGCAGTTGACACAGTTGGAACGTCTTCATTATTAATTACTCTGTAACAAATTACCCCAAAACTTGGCAGCTTAAAACAACAAATGTTTATTGTCTCATAGTTTTCGTGGGTCAGGAATTCAGGAGCAGCTTAGCTAGGTGATTCTGGTTCAGAAGCTCTCGTGAAGTTTCAATTAAGATATTGGCCAGGATTGCCTTCTCTGAAGACTCAGCTGGAGCTGGAGGAGCTACTTCCAAGGTGGCTAACCCACATGGCTGTTGGTGGGAGGCCTCAGTTCTTTGCCATTGGTTGGAGGCCTGAATTTCTCACCGTGTGGACCTCTTGAGTGTCCTTGTGACCCAGTAGCTGGTTTTCCCTAGAACAAGTGATCTAAGAGCAAGTGAGGAAGAAGCTGCAGTGCCTGTTAGTACCGGGTCTCAGAAGTCACACACTATCTTTCAGTCATAATCTGTTAGAAGGGAGTCACCAGGTCCAGCCTCGAAGTAAGGGAATTAAGCTACATCTCTGAAGAGAAGAGGATGTTTTAAAACTATCACATGGAAAGTCGAGTGTAATGAATGTCTGGGGCCAGGAGATGAGGTGAGAAGGATGGTCAGGGCTTATGGGCCACACATATGCCGAGGAGTTTGTGCTTTGTCCCATAGGCAGTGAGGAATGTTTCTGAGCTGGGTGTACTCAGTCAGATCTGGATTTTAGACTGAGCTCCCTGGTGACAGGGAGGAAGGCACATATGTCAAAAAGCACATCTAATACGGGGCGATTAGTGCTGCGGTCGAGAAAAGATGAGGGCCACAGGAGCCGAGGAGAGGGGAGACCAACCCAGGGGATGGAGGTGGGGCTGAGAAGGCAGGGGGCAGTGTGATCAGAGGGCGAGCACTGGGGCTCTAGAGGTGGTGGTGGCAACTGAGGCTAGAGAGCCAAAGAGCCTGCTGGCTTTGTCCTTTTTATCTACACCCTGTACCTGAAAATCCTCTCCAGCTCTTAGGGTAGTTGGCTCCTCTCCATCATTCAGACAGCCCTCAGACATCTCCCACCAACCAGTTTATAGCACACATCACACATTCTCTCTCTTCAATCACCCTCTTATATGGTCTTCAGGTACTTCTCTGCTAACTTTTCTATCATCTGCCTCACTCTGAGCTCCTTGAGAATCCAGGGTCGTTATATTCCCAGGGTCTAGAGCAGTTGACTTTGTAGAGTAGGTGTTCAATAAGTTGTTGTTTTTATTAATGAATGGATGAATGTAACTTCCTGGAACTCTAAGAAAGGGAAGAGTGGGTGACAGCCCAGCCCCTCCCATGCTTCTTTAGGTTGTGCCTATCCCTTCATTCTGCCCACCAAGCACCTTTTATTCTCTCATTCTCTCTCTCTCTCTCTCTCTCTCTCTCTCTCTCTCTCTCTCTCTCTCTCTCTCACACACACACACACACACACACACAC